CAATCCCTTTTCCTCCATTTCTTCTCTCGGGATTTTGGGCGCACACGCACATGCACCTGATGTGTTTCTCAAGCTGCTGGGACTTGAACTGTGCAGTTAGACACGTGGAATTCAGACACCTTAACCACCATGCTAGTGGCTGGCCTCATGAACCTTTTCAAAACATCTGCTTTCTTTATTTCTTTCATGAATGAGAGAGGACATGAAGAGGCAGCACCTGCAGCAGTGCTACCGCGATCCACCCCTAGCCTCAGCCCAGGCTGCGCGTACCCAGGCTAGTCAAGGAGGTCTCTGGGCATGAACCCAGAACCTTGCTTTGGGTCAGTCTCAGAGCATCATGTTTCACCACTGTGCCACCTTTCGACCCAACCATGAACTTTTTGAAGACCCCTTGTATGTAGAACTCTCAGCTAGAAAGTCATTCAGTAGGAAAGACATTGTGACATTATATATATATATATATTTTTTTTTTAATATTTTATTTATCTATTTATTTGTTGTGATTTTCAAGCCACCAGGTTCAGGACTTGATCTGTAGTTGGCCATGTGGGAATCCAGCACCTTAACCACCATTGCACCTGCTGGCCCTGAGATATTTTTTAATAAGAACTTGAATCAACCCACTTTGACTAAGCATACATATGACAGTATTTTGTCATCTTCTTTGTTATATGTGTACCAGCATTTACACAGTTTCTAAGGGAAAGGATTCTGAAAGTAGGTGTGTATATATGCAAAGGTGATCAGAAGGAAATAGACGATAGTGAAGTGAAAAAAGTCACTGGATTGGTCATTTGAATTTGTATCTATAAACCTAAGAATAAAAAGATATTTTGCAATTGTGGTATGAAGAAAATGGCTTTGATTTTTCAACAAAATGATGATATAATAAGTTTTCAAAAATACTGCATTTTGGCCCAGCTACAATGCGTGCTGGACACTGCCACTGTTTGGCAGGCTGGGGCCATGTGGGAGACCAAGGCTTGCTTCCTGGCCCACCCAGCCAAGTTAGGCGCAGTATCACTCACCGTGGTCCCAGTTCCCCATCTCTTTGCGGAGGCAGCAGGATCCTGAGTTTATGGCTAATATGGACAGTATAGTGAGGCCCTATCTGAACAAACCAGACATGGTGGCAGACACCTGTGATCTCAGCCACTTGGGGGGCTGAGGCAGGAAGATTGTAATACAGCAAAGCCCTGCCTTAAAAAAGGGTGGAGGGGGGAAGCCCTATAGTGCAGCAGTGAAGCACCATGTAAAGGAAGCTACATCCCACATGGCTGACCAGGGTTCAGGTCCTGGCACCCATAGCTCATGTGCTGGGTGTGCTCAATATTCTGATGGAATGGAGAATTGGAAGAAAAAGGATTGTGGCATGACCAGGGCCTGTTGGAGATTACTTTTCCTCTCTCTCTAATGCATATACTCTCTGGCATAATGACAGGGAAAACAAAACAAAACAAAACAGAAAAACCACTATGCACATACACCACAAAAAAGTTGCTTTTTGATGTTGCAAATGCAAGAAAAAGAGCCAGAAGTATTAGTGAACTAGAACTTATTAGAGATATATCTTCAATATAATGTCAGTATTTACAAGGTAGATGAATCCCAGGTTTATGCATGATGTGATAAGCAACTTGTTACACATTGCCTATTTCAGGTATATATTTTTCAAACCATGGAAATGCAGAGTAAAACTTGAGTTTGCTTTGTGTTATTTAAATTTCTATTAAAGTTATTTATTTTTTTAAGAATTATTTGTTTAGTTTTATTTATTGATATCATTATTTTTTAATTCACCAGAGAGAGTGAGAGAGGGAAAGTGAGAAAGCAAGCCACCAGGTCCAGGACTCAAACCGTGGCCACCATGTGGGAGTCCAGCACCTCAACCACCATACCACCTGCTGGCCCCTCTATAAGGTTATTTTATACTATCCTGTTATGTTTTTTTTTAATAAAATGTTTTTAGACTATAAAAAATTAAAAGGGTCTATTGGACTCTAGTGATTAGTGATAATGACTATTTTTCCTGGTATATTGGGAGTTAGTCAGGTTTGTAAGAAAATTAAAAAGAAAATGACTTCTCCCAGTGTTATTTAACACTGCTTAAGCATTTCACCAAATACTACCTCTCATGTGGCCTAAAATTATCTCAAGTATGTCCTAGTCTTGGGAAACACTCTTATAAGTGATTGTTTAAAGAATAAACGATTGAAGTTGAAGTTATCATGATAGACTGAACACTGCACCAAATCTTGTTCTTTTCCCAAAACTTAACTTTTTTTAAAAAAAGAATCATTTGTTTAATTTTTATTTATTATTTTTAAATTTGAACAGGAGACGGGGGAAGTGAGAAAGCAAGCCGTCAACATCTGGGACTCAGACTGTAGTCAGTCACATTGGAGTCTAGAGCCTTGCCACCTGTCGGCCCCTCTTGAAACTCTTCTAAACTTTGGTAAAAGGACTTTTAAAAAACACACAGATCCATAGATAAGAGAAGACAAAACAGCAACAGAGTTTCAAAGCTAGAAAGGAGATGGTTTGAGATGACTGATAAGGACTGTAGAAGCAAATCCCAAATTGGCAGTGGGAAGGAAAGCACCAGGTATCTCTGGAACCCAGAATGGAGGGATAGGTAGCAGAATGAGGAGGCTGGGTGAGAGCTGATTGACAGTCATTTAGATCTCTGCTGCTGTGGAACGATTGCCCTACTTCAGCCTGGGGTGTTCTTTAGAACACAGGGTCTCTGGATTGTGGGAGTCCAGATGTAGTCGTGGGTACTATACTGAAGCATAGTACCTCTGTTCCTCTCTGGCTCCCAAAACACTGGGGGCCAGGCCCTCCAGACAGGATAATAAAGACTCTAGGAAATCTGACCCATTTAAGAAGATCAAAAGTAACTGGGGTTGGGGGTTCACCCCAGTAGAGTCCTTGCAGATCACCTTACAGTGAAGCTTGTGAACCCCCAACCATGTACTCAGAGCTTCTGGCAGCTCTTTAGGAAGTCCCACTTGCAGTCATGAGCCAAGGATCAGCAGATTCCTAAGCAGTTTGTAATGCAGAAGACAGAGACCAAAAGAAGCCAAGGGGGGAAAGCATCTTGGAAGAAACTAAAAAAATGAAAAGATGAGAACAAAAGACAAAAGCTATCATCAAAATCCTTAGAAATATAAGAGGATATTGCACCCTTGAAACAAAAATTGAATAGTAAGATAAAAAGAATACTTAGATGACATGAAAGAATTCTTGAAATTAAAAACATGATGACAGATAAAATTGTAACTCGTTTTCAGTTCTTTTTGTAGTTACATCCATAATCATAAATATTAAGCTTATGCTGTTATGTCTTGTTACTTTGGACATTATCTCACTATAATATGTAGATAACACACTTAACACTTCAACTTCATCTATCTCTTTTCATAATGTAGCTATCTAATTTAAAAATTAGATTATTTGGGCTGGCCTCATAGTATCGTTGCTAAGCACTATGTACTGGGAGCTGGATCCTACATGGCCAACGACAGCTCAGATCCCACCCTGGTGGCTTGAGAAGCACGCTGCATGCGTGTGTGTGCGTGTGTGTGTGTGTGTGTGCGGGTCCAGAGTCTTGATGAGATGGAGAAAGGGCTGCCGTGTTACCATACCCCACTTGGGAGAGATGCTTTCTCTGACAATTAAAAGAACCATATGATTTGCCTCTGGCCTTTAAAAGATACTTTAAATCTCTATTTCTTACTCTCATAACTATAAATAGTATCAGATTCACTTGTGATTTCTTACTCTTGCCTCACCTACTCTAGAGTGGAGAAGGAAGTTCAACTGGTTTAGTAAGTAGCTATATTTATGTAAAGTTTTGTTTCTTCTTGCTGACATCCATAATAAAGATACACCTATCTGAAGCATATCATAAGCAGAGTAGGCTGTCAGTGTTTTACTTCCCAGATTTTCTTTTTTTTTTTTTTTTTCCTTTAGAGAAAGATTTTGGCTACAGGGCTCATGTGCTCACCAGAGAGAGAAAGACAGGAAGCAAGAAATCTCTCCCCGGGGGGATGACCATGCCACAGTCCCTTCTTCTCCATTCTCCTCTTGGGATCTTGGGCATACACGCACATGTTCCCAGTGGAATTTTAAGCCACTGGGTCCAAGACTCCCATCTGTAGTCGACTACATGGGAGTCCAGCGACGTAACTTTTACGCCATCTGCTGGTCCCATAATTTGTATTTTCAAGGTTATTGAAGTATAGCTTCTTTTTAGAGAAAAGGCCTGGACTTTTACTGGGCCCTGGTAGCTGCTAAAGTAGTTGAGTTTCTACTGCATTGTTTTTCAAAGTGTCTTGAAATATATTTTATGGTATGTTTGTATGTATTTGTGTACCTGTATCTGTTTATCTGAAGTCAAATCGGGCCAGAAGGTGGCGTGGAGGTTAAGGTGTTAGCTCCCACATGGCCAATCCATGGTTGGAATTTCAGACCCAGCATCTAGAGAAACATGCTGGGTGTGTGTGTGTGTGTGTGTGTGTGTGTGTGTGTGTATGTGTGTATATACACATATACACACACGCACCCAAAATCTCAGGAGAAGAATGGAGGAGAAGGGATTGCAGCATGACCCTCCCCTCAGAGACTGATTTCTCACTCTCCTTCTCTCTTTGTCTCTCTGGTGAGCACATGTACCCCTAAAAAAAGAATCTCCCTGGGCCAGCCAGGTTGCATGGTAGTTAAAGTAGTTTGAGTCCTGAACCTAGCAGCTTGAAAAGCATCCCAGGCACATGTGCATGTGTGCCCAAAATCCTGAGAGGATAATAGAGGAGAGGGGACTGGTGTGTGGTCATCTCTGGGGAGTGCTTTCTCATATATGTCTCTCTCTCTCCCCATCTCCAGCAAGAACATGTGCCCTATAGCAAATTAAAAATAAATAAAATAAAATCTCCATAATTCTTTGGGCTAAGTCAGCTTTCTTAATAATCTGAACCAATGTGTTTTCTTTCTTGGTCTAGGCAGTTGACAAATACTTCAAGCTTCCTCATGCTTCCAGTAAGCCATCTCGGATTTCAGGAAGCCTTGTGGATACTTCTTATAAAACTTTGAGATTTGCATTCCGGGCATCACTAAAAACTGCCATCTATAGAATAACTACTACGTTTGGTGAACATCTGAAGTAAGTTTACCTGTTTCGATCCAGGATAATAGTCCATTTTCGGGAGTTCCCCTGAGACAGCGCTTTGGGAATCAGGAGGGGTCACATTGTTGGGAGTGTTCTGGTGGGACCTTGATGATCCCCTTGTGAAGTAACATCTTGCACTTAGGCTTAATACTAATATTTTAAAATATGACTTATTGTAACCTTTAGAGGTTTCTTTCAAATGGACAAAAGAGAGGATAGAAAGCTATAAAAGCAGGAAATATAATTAGATACATATTTTTTAAATTAGCAAAAGGTCCTTAAAGGAGAAAAAAAGACAAAAAATTGAGAACATTTTTCAGAAAAGCATTTTAAAAATAAGCCTGTTGTTACATGTTGGTCAGCAAGCTAAGTCTTGGAGTGAGCAGAGTATTCCATAACCGAGCCCCTGGAGTTGTGAATCATGCTGGAAAAACACCGGCAGATCACACCACCTCAGAACCAGAGAGAGAGCCACAAATGCCAGACCGGTTTATATTTAGTTTCATTGATGTTTACTGCTTTTCTCTCATGAAATGATCTAGCTAGGCAGGATGAGGGCGACAATTTATTAACGAAACTGTGTTGTTATAAGTGAACTATAGAAAGCATCAGAGATTGCTCTGCTTTTTCCGTATGCAGTCTTTAATAGTTTAGGACTTCTTCATAGCCCCTGCTTTCAGAAGCAGGTAGTGTATTTCCTTTCACTCCCATGGTCTCAGGCAGCAGCAGCAGCAGCAGGTGTTAGGGAGCACTTGGAGTCTGTGAGACTGCAGAAAAGCTGTAGATATCCCTTTATTATAACAATTAACTTGTTTAAGAACAAACAAAATAACTATTTATTGAGTGTCTTCTAGACTCACAGTGTTCAATATGGCAGCTATGTTTGGCAATTTAAATTTAAATTTATTGAAGTTAAATAAAACTATAAATTTGGCAGTTACATGAGCCACATTTCATTAACTTAATAACTGTGGCTAGGGACCAGCAGTTAGCGTAATGGCTATGTCGCTGGACTCCCACGTAGTCGACCGCGGTTCGAGTCCCGGACCTGGTGGCTTAAAGCTCACGCCGGGCGTGTGTGCTTGTGTGCCCAAGATCCCAAGAGGAGAATGGAGGAGAAGGGATTGCAGCGTGGCCATCCCTCCTGGGGGGTGATTTCTCACTTTCTATCTCTCTGTCTCTCTCTGTCTGGCAAGCGCACACACCCTATAGCAAAAACCTCTCCCCCCAAAAATAAATAAATAACTCTGGCTAGTGGCTACTGAATTGGGCAACGTACAGGTAACACATTTCAATCACTGCAGAACGCTTTACTGGACAGCACTATTCTAGACAATAAATTTGACACATTTTTCATTTACTCTTCTCAAAGATCCTGTGAGGTGTAGACATTATCATAATTGTGCAGATAGGAAAACTGAAGCACAAAAGAGTAAACTTGCCAAGTAGCACAGTGCAGTGCATCATCACATTACAACATGAACTTGAAATCGGGTCTTTCTTAAACATCTGCCCCTTTTTTTGACTAGAAGGCGTGTGTGCTTGCTGGAGAGAGACAGACAGAGGGAAAGCGAGAAATCCCTTCCCCCCATGGGGATGGCTAGCCACAGTCCCCTATTTTTTTCTTCTCTTGGGATTTTGGGCATCCATACATACACGCCCAGCATATTTCCCAAGTTTCTAGATCTGGGACTAGAACTGTGCAATTGGCCATGTGTGATCCAGCCACTTTAGCCGCCGTGCTACCAGCTGGCCCAAACATCTGCCTTCTTTACATCTATAGCACTAGAGTATCTCTAAGACACAAACTAGCACATAGGATACACTCAGAACACACTCATGAAGGCCAGCCATGGTGGTGCAGCAGTAACTCCATGCTCTGCAGTGCTGAAGTCACAGAGGAAGGGCCCAGGTCTACACCCTGAGGTCTCCCTTGCACACCAGGCACGCACACATACACACATGCCCATGATCCTGATTGGCTGAGGCTGGAAGTGGATTGTGACATGAAGACCCTATTGGGGGTACCTGTTACCCCCTTTTCTCATGGAAGATAGAACTTAAAATTCTTTTAAAAAAGAAAGCACTCACTGATGAATTTAGAAAATGAAATAGATGTGATACAGATGTTGAAGACAGGGCAAAAAGTAGAGAGAATGGGGAAAATAGGGATTTCTTAGGTAAGAAGGGGAGATAAATGACATTAAAAATTATGACAATGAAATTCTGCCTTTGTTTTCTGTGAGAAGAGCACTAAAATTAATGAGATCAATATAAGACAGAATGAAATGATGGAAAGAATGTTAGATTTGGAGTTAAAACATCTGGAATTTTATTTGGTGACATCATTGACTATCTGTGATTGTGAGCAAGTTACCTAATGATTTAAATAACTTTCCCAAGATTATGCAAATAGTAAATTGCAGAAGCAGAATGTGATCTCAAATCTTTTTAACCCAAGAGCTCTAGCTACAGTGTCTGTACTCTTAACCAATAGACTGTTGCATCCCGAACTTCTGAACCTTTCTGATTCTGTTCATGCTCCCATGAAAAGAGGATGTCAAACTCACTTTGCCTCATTTGGTGTTTATAATAGAAACAAAGTGGGATTACACATAGGGAGAGCTCACTGTACATTTATTGGGACAGCAAATATTATTATTGTATATATACCTAATTATTTACTACCTTAAAGCTCTACTCTGAGAACCAGGTATAAATGAAGTAAACTCTTTTTTTTTTGGAGAGGTTTTTGCTGTAGGGCGCGTGCACTCGCCAGAAAGACGGAGAAAGACAGAAAGTGAGAAATCACCCCAGGGGGGATGACCACGCCGCAATCCTTTCTCTTCTATTCTCCTCTCGGGATCTTGGGCACGCGTGCACTTGCGCCCGGTGTGTTTAAGCTGCCGGGTTCAGGACTCGAACCATGGTCGGCTACATGGGAGTCCACCAACATAGCCATTATGCCAACTGCTGGTCCCAAAATGAAGTAAACTCTTGATCTTTAAAAATTAATGCAAGCCAGGACCAGCAGTTAGCATAGTGGCTGTGCTGCTGGACTCCCATGTAGTTGATCATGGTTCAAGTCCTGGACCTGGTGGCTTAAACTCACACCGGGCGTGTGCGCATGTGTGCCCATGATCCTGAGAGGAGAATGGAGGAAAAGGGATTGCAGCGTGGCCCTCCCCTCTGGGTGATTTTTTGCTTTCTGTCTCTCTTTCTAGTGAGCACACGCACCTTACAGCAAAAACCTCTCCCAAAAAAAAGAAAAAAAAATATCAATCTTTAAGGGGCAGAGATTGCTATAAGAGTCAGGGGTACCAACAACAAATAGTAGGGGCAGTTTACTACCTCGCAGTGGCGAGGAGAGTCATGGGAAAGCCACAGGTTGGTTTTTGAGAGAGCTCCCTGCCATTCAGTTCCAGATGACAGCCTCACTGGTACTTAGAGGGCATCTTTGTACAGTGAAATATGTGAACAGTTCAACTAGAGGTAGCTACATGGTTTTAGGAAGTAGAGACATGTATAAGATGTTTTAGGATGATTTGTAGCAAAATTATTAAAATAAGATTGTTTTGGCACTTTAAATATGACCTGTAGTTATCTGGAATTTTATCATTCAGTAATCATATATTCCTATTCAAGAATTAGAAAGCCAGACTCTCTGATTGTATTCCGTTTTTGCCCAGAGATTTAAAAGGAAGTCTTATACTAGTTTCAGTGTATATTTACCCTAATTTTGTCAAGATAACATATTTTTGCAGTGGCAAGGGTAGAGAGAGAACTCAGTGTTCCCATCCAAAACACTACTTATGTTCAAAGGGAAAAGTAAATCTAAACCACCAAGCTGTTACCTTTGAAACGATTAATGGAGTCTATTGTGTTTTAACCAAACATTTTAGTTTAAAGGATTTTATATTAAAGGCAATTCAGATTCTCTACAACTCAAAGATAATGTGGGAATCTGGTTTGAATAAAATAATAAAATCCAGAAAATCTACTGCGAGGCCTGGAACTCTGCACAGCAGGTTCCACGGCAGAGCAGGTTAAAATTGATGCCTTCACTTGTCAGTCTTAATTTGCTTTGGTCTCTTAGAAGGTAGAGGCTTACCATTCCTGAATGCAGGCTCTCCTCTTCATTAGATTAAAAGGGGTTTTCATCCAGCTTTTTCAGAAGTACTAAATAAGTGAAGATTTCTATTCATTTTTAATTGTTTTGAAAAATATTGACTCTGTGCTCTGTGGTTCACTTAATATGCTTAATGTAAAATAAAGCTTATGCTTTGAATTTATGTTTCATTTAGTGCTGTGCAAGCATCTGCAGAACATCAGAAAAGACTTCAACAGTTCTTGGAGTTCAAAGAATAGTTAAGTAATATAAACTGTGTTCATTACACTGCTGATACAACTACAGATGGGACAGTAAATGTTCAGCATTCTTGGATCAGAAGAAAATGGACTAATTAGATGCTTCCTTTGTCGTGGTGGTTGCTTTGAAAACTATACTTTAATGGGACAAATCATGGAAAGAAATTCTCAACAGGATAACCCAAAACTGCCTTTTCTGTACCGATTGCTTTTTGTGTGTGTGGTATAATAAAATCTTTATTCAATTTTACAGAAGCATCTACGGCAGTAGAAATGTCTCTAAGCTCATATAACTTAATAACTCAAAAATTTTTAGGATTTACTTTTGAAAAGAGTGGAGCCAGTTCCGACACTGAAATGTACAACACGAGGACTATAGTTAATAGTCTTACTGTTTGTCCTAAAAGCTTAGCTCTTGTAAGCTCAAAATACATAAACTTTTTTAGAGTAGTTTCTGTTTACTGAAGGATAAAAATGGTAACAGTGAAGAAAAATTCATAGAAAAAATATTGTCTAAAGGACATGTTTTGTTAATCTGTTAGGTTGTGTTTTTGTTTCCAGGGACAAATTAAATTTGCATGATTATCCAAAAAAAAGTCTCAATTTACAGATGCTAACTCTATATAAAGGAATGTGGAAAGCTCAGTTCTTAAGTTACAAGATTAAACGTTCACATTTGGTTTTTGAGAAACAGTTGACCGACATCTATGAATTTATTTTGTATTATGCTAGTAAACAATAAGTTTATGGATATTTTCCCAACTAGTTTTGCTTTCTTTTTCTGGAACAAAACATTAAGTGACTGCAGAGCTTTTCAACTGAGAGAAAGTTTTGCAAGAAATACCAATAAACTCTCTCTTTTTTCCCTCCACCGTTCATCTTCATTAGATCAAATTATTTCATGAAGTTTGTCCGGCCTCAGAGGGAGCAGCTTCTTCTGTGTTAACTGTCTAATTAAAATATATTAGGAAAATCTTTGTAGCCAGAAAGAACTTAGTCATCAAATAGTAAGTGAAACCGAAACGTCAGAAAGATGACTGTGCTTGGGAGTATGTCCCAAATGTGAGCGAGGTCATTTTATAATTTATTTGATTGATTTCTTTGGAGATGAAAGATTTGACATCCTAGTGGTAGATATTCATTGGAGTAGCTTTGGATAGAAATGCTCCCTTGTGGTTCTTTTCACATTTTCTTTTCTCTCCACTGTCCCCAATTTTTTCTTTAAAGTCACACAGCATTGGTTATGAATCTTTAATGTGGTGTGTGTGTGTGTGTGTGTGTGTGTATATATATATATATACATGTCTACCATTTGTTTGATTCATTCATGTATAATATCTTACAATAGAATATTTTAGCTCCAGGCCCTGTAGCCCCTTCAATTAGCATATGCCAAACTATAAATGAATCCTGCTGGCCTTTAAAGTCTCTATGGGACAGTTTCCCAATTGTCAAATGTTTGGATAGTTAGTCTATTGTCATTTGCTTTTTGTTTTTTTGTTTTGCATCCGAAGTTGAGTTGATTCAGTCTCCGTTTTATTTTTTACTTTTTTGCGGTGCGTGTGGTCTTTCAGACAGGATCTCACCATTTCACAGTCCTCGTGCCTCTGCTTTCCAAGGTGCAGGGCCTAGGCACATCTCACTGCTCTGACTCTTTCAGGTGGAGTCTCTCTGTGTTGCCCACTCTGCATGCTCACGATCTTCTGCCTCAGCCTCCGAAGCAGGTGGGATCTCAGGTGATTGCCACTGTGCCTGCACCCGTGCCTGGCATTTTTAGAGTAGGCTGGGAATCGAACCTGGGCCGCCCATGACTCAGCCTGCCAAGTAGCAATGTCTAGCAGGGGCTACTGCAGCTGGAACCGATCTCTTTTTTTAAATGTGAAGGTTGAATTTTTGAATGTGGTAGGGTTTGTTTGTTTTTTTTTTTTTTACAGATGACCAGAAAATTGTGGCTGCGTTGACTGAGAACTATTGTGTTCTATACATTAAAGCCATTAAGTTTTATATATTCCATTCTCTTTACTGCCCCTGGCTGAGACATTTGGGAGACAAAGACTCTTAAGATTCCATCAAAGAGGAATTAAATATGACCTGGTAACTCATTGGATTCCTGCAACTGAAGATAAGATGATTCCTTCCTTTAAAACTTCAACTGACTTGTGTAAAATGTCTGGCTAGGTTTAGGCTCTCTCCATTTCTCCTGTACTTTGGGCAAAGGTATACTCAATGAGCAATGGGAATGTTTCTGAGATGTTCAGCCCTGTTTTCTCTCAAGAGAATGTGTCTGTGCAAAATACAGGCCGCGTAATGCCTGCCTGCTGAGATGTGGAAACTGCCTCCCCAGATCCGTATTGTGTTTAGTAGGTATAAGGGAGTCAGTTCCTTTTCCCCATTGTGTGTTGGTAAGTTACACACCATCTGTTGGGGCTAAGGGTTACTGAAGGAGCTCCTTCTCCTGTGTGCAAGAAGCCAGACCTTAGCGAGGCCCAGAGGAGAGCAGCATTTCCTTTGATGAAGACACATCCTGCTGTGAGCCCACTGGTGCTAGAACATTGGCCTGGAAATTAGAGAGTGTCCTTTTTAACAAACTTTTCTCTTGCTGTTAGTATAAACCATGACTGTATCAACTCGTGTAATATTTGCCTGAGCCTTACGGGAGGTATAAATCCACAAAACTTCTTTCACAGAAAATTGGGAAACCATCCTAGAATAAACCGTGTACAGTTTGGTGGACTTGAATAAGCAACAGTTTGTTACTCTGCTAGATTTGTTCCTCAGCCATTGTTTCATGTGTTTTCCTGTAAATATTTATGATACTTTGTTTATATCCTTTTATATATCACTAATTCTGAATTGGGTAGAAAAATAAATGGTTAATTTTTTAAAATGGGATTATTTATTGATGTATGTGTGTCTGTAAGGTCAGTTACTTAATTTCTGTTGTGTGTGTTTCCTTAACTTATAATAACTTAGTCGTAGAACTGTTGCTTATAAAACCTAAAAAAGTTTTCATTTACTGAGAAATCAGTTTTTGCCCTTAACTAGACCAATTCTGTGAGTGATCTGTGTTTAATGCTAACTCTGAGGATCCCCAATTCTGAAATTCTCTTTCTTCGTTGTCTTGGCTGTCTTTCCCCCAAAACTAAACAAAGGGTACAGGTGCTGAAAGCCATCTTCTAGCAGAGGTTTCTTTTCTTGCCAGAATGATGTTTCTAAATGGATCATATTCCCCCAGGCTCACAGTTCTGTCAACTTCACTTAAATTGGTCTAAACTTCACCTCTAGGTCGAGGCATGAAGGCCCTGAACTCCCTCTCTTGCTCTCCCAACGCATCGTCATCTTTCTCTAAAATCAAATAGCTTGAAACAAAGATGGCTTTCATTCACTGGTTAATAACCCAACTGTTTTCTTTTTTAATTAATTTGTTTCTAGGTTTTTGCCATAAGCTGCATGCACTTGCTGGGTAGAGACAGAGAGGGAAAGTGAGAGGTCACCCTGGCAGGGGGAATGGCCACGCCCCAATCCCTTCTCCTCTCAGGATTTTGAGCATGCACACCCATGTGCCCAGCATGATTTTCAAGCTGCCGAGTCCTAAACTCAAACCATAGTTGGCCATGTCGGAATCCAGGACCTTAACCACCACACCATCCTGACTGGGCCCCCAACTATTTTCAAAAAGCAGCTACCACTGTTTTCAAATAAGCAAAATCTTTAGTTTTGAGGTACTAGAAAGGGGTAGACAAGAATAATTCTGCTATTCTCAGTCGTGCTTCTAAGAGACCCTGGCCATTGCTTTAGTGATGTGCAAGCTGATGTGACGCTAATTGAAAACCACTTGCTGGTGTCTATTACAGTACAGCTATTAGAAATGAACTGTGAACAAAGCAGTCCTTGCCCTTGAGGAGGTGATAATCTAATGCAGTAGTACTTCCTGTGGTATGTGGTGTGCATGCATCAGAATTACCAGGAGTGCTTAATAGAGGTGCTGAGTTTGCTTCAAGGGACCTGAGCTGGTTCCCCAAAGATGTTTGTTAGTTTTTAGGTTTTTGCCATAGGATATGTGAGCTTGCCAGAGAGGTAGAGAGACAGGGTAAGAGGAATAGTGAGAAATCCCCACCCCCCAGGGAGAATGGCCATGATGCAATCCCTTCTCCACTCTCTTTTTGGGATTCTCAGCAAGCATGCACATGCACCCAGCGGGGGTCTTAAACCACCAGGTCCAGGTGCAGCTGGCCACATGGGAGTCCAGTGCCTCAACCCTCATGCCACCTGCTGGCCCCAAGATGTCGTTTTTTAACAAAGTCTAGGCAGGTGGTCTGATAAACACACTGTGAGGAGGGTTTATCCTAGATCAGGACTTCTCAAACTAACATCCATCAGCAACACTTGGAGAATTGATTGAAACCATTTACTGGCCCACCTCTGGGGTTTCTGATTCAGTACTTCTGGGGTAGGGCCCAAGAATTTGCACTGCCACAAAGGGCCTGGGTGGACAAGCTACTGCTCCCAGTCAGGAGATCACTGCTCTAATGGATTTCTCTCAGATGCTGTGCAGCATCTGAATGAACTGCCGTTCACTGTAGAGTTCTTCCATCTGATCCTTCATTGACAAGTCTGATGAATGCAGTTAGATAATCCCCACTGAAGGGATGCTGAGATGTTCAGGTGTTCATGTGCGTGTCAGGCGATGTGACATGAATTACTCTTTCACATCATCATGTGCTAGTGCGTGTTCCCTCTAGGTGGATTTCTGTCTCTTCAGCAGACTCGCCATTCTTCAGCATCTAAGCCCTCCCACAAAGGCTGATAGATTCAAAGCATCGTCATTCCTCCTCATCACATTGAGTTACACTGATCACAGATGTGTTTCCACTGGAGCACTGTGATCTCCATTCCTTCTTGGATCTCAGTTATAATCATTAGTCGGCCTTTATGTACAATCCTGAAGTCCAGAGGAGTTTTTTATTAGTACGTTTGGTGACAGAATTTCCTTGGCAGCACAATCTGACCTGAGCCGGCATGAAGCTATTTATAGACTTACTTTTTTTTTTTTTCAGAAATTATTTTATTTAACTTTATTTTAACTTGACCAGAGAAGGACAGACTGAGAGAGGGAGAAAGAAGGGGAAAAAGAAGGCGAGCCGCCAGGTCTAGGACTCCAACTACTGTCGACCATGTGGGAGTCCAGTGCCCTTAACCACTATGCCACCTGCTGGCCCCTAGACTTACTTTCTCTCTATAGTGTGAGAGTGTCAGGTAGTAAGATTATTATCTTCCTGGAACTTGAAAAGCTCTTTATTTTGAAGCATCTGGCTTCAGGAGTTTAAGAGAGAATTGTAGACCTGTTTTATAAGATACTGTTAATTCTTCATTCACTCATTGCCTGCCACGTACCAGGCCCTGTGCTAGGCAATGGCAATACAGAGTTGCAGACCTGGCCCTCAAAAAGCATGTCGTGTAAAGTGGAGGACTTAGGTAGAGGCAACCTTGCTTGCTGTCTCATCATTGACTGACAGCTGCCCTATCCTATCCTGCTCTACCCAGTAGCTGTTGTTCCTAGTTGGGTCTGCCCACTTTGGGGATGCTGTCATCATTAAACCTAGCTGTCCTTAGGTGTTCTGGTGCCAGCTAGCTTTGTTACCTGCCCTCTTGTGCCAAGCTAACAATTAGCTAATTTCTCAACAGCCACAAAATAATTGAAGACAGTGGGGAAAGAAATTTTGAAGTGCTGAAAAGACTCTAACCTAGAATTCCACACCAATATTCATCTTCAGGGATGGTGGGGAAATGAAGACATGTCATACAAATGAAAGTAGAGATTTCATCCAGACCAGAGTAAAAGGAACTTAATTTATAATGGCAGTTTTTACAGGGAGAAGAAGGAAGAAATTAAGGACAGTTCAGCTTCAGTTAGAGAAGCAGGAAGAAATTGAGGACAACAGAAAAAGGTAAATATGGGCCTAGCTGTAGTGGTGCAGGCTGGGTGCTTCTGCTTGGTTGACTGATGTCACGTGGGAGGCCTGGGGAAAAAGCCAGGTATGGTGACGTGCACCTGTGTCCCAGTGACTTGGGAGGCTGAGGCAGAAGGATCACAGACTCAATGACCAGCGGGGACAGCATAATAAGACCACCTGAAAGAGCCAGGCATGGTGGTGCGTGCCTGTAGTCCCAGCTACTCGGGAGGCTGAAGCAGGAGTGTCACCACACGCACACATCACACAAAAAGGTAAATGTGAATATTGGCTTCTGAAACAATGTCTTACGGAGTTTTAAGTGAATAGAGACTCAGAGTACACAACACAGTGGCATATAAGTCAGTGTATTTGGAAATTAAAATGTTCTAAGTTCTTTTAAATTTTTTTTAGTTTTTTTTTTTTTTTCCCATTGGGTGTGTATGTGCTCTGAAGAGAGAGAAAGAGGGAAAGTGAGAAATCACCCTCAGGGGGCATAGCCACATTGCAATTCCTTTTCCTCCATTCTCCTCTCAGGATTTTGAGCATATGCGCATGCTCCTGGATCTTCAAGCCAAGTCTGGGACTTGAACCACGGTTGGCCATGTAGGAATACAACGCCTTAACTACCATGCTATCTGCTGGCCCCTAAAATGTTCTAAGTTCTTTATGTTGTCTGTGAAAAGTAAAAGTGGCAGTCGTAGTCTTTGGTATATTGAAAATGTGCATTATAATGAAGGATAATCATTAAAAGAATAAAAACTTCCAAGTAAGACAAGGG